GGCCGCCGTCCGTGCCCCGTGGCCGCCGTCCGTGCCCCGTGGCCGCCGTCCGTGCCCCGGGGGCCGCCGTCCGTGCCTCGGGGCCGCCGTCCGAGCTGCGGTGCGTGACGTGCTCCCTGTCGGCACCCGGGAGGTCAGGGCACTAGGAGCCCGGGCATGAAAATCCTCTTCTATGCGCAAAATTTCCGCTAAATATACCAACACGTCAACCATCATATCAGCTATCAATGCAGTATTGCCTTTTTATAAGTCATATATATACACATATGTGTGAGTCTATGTATATGTGTATATGATTTGTATTTTTATTTATTTTTTTAGCTAGACAGCTAAAAACTGCATCTTCAGTTGCCTTTAATCCCAGCAAGGTCAGGATGCAGAGGTASTGTCACTCAAACAGAAAAGACACGTTTCCCAGAGTGTTTCAAAAGCACCTTTTATGCCCCAAAGAAATCCTTTAGATTTAGTTTGCAGAAATGGTAATGCTCATCCAAAGTGCAGGCATGTAGTTGTGTTTTTACGTTTGCTGTTCCCTAAAATAGCTTTCCAAACATCAATATTTTAAGTAATTCTACTTTACATTTCTTTACAGTACTGGCATAAAGGATGTTTCCACTGTGAAGTTTGCAAAATGGCTCTGAACATGAATAACTACAAAGGATATGAAAAGAAACCTTATTGCAATGCGTAAGTATTATAAACGTCAAGTCTTGCAGAAATGCACTTGAAAGGAAGAAATGGCCATGTATTTTGTAAAATAGGTCTTGTCCTGCTGTAAAAACTTGATCTAGGGATGCGCAGGGCATTATAGAGCGGCTTAGTATCTTTTCAGACAGTTGTGCTGGTATGGAAGTGATGGAAAATGGAAATATTCATTTATGATATGAGTAGTGTTTTATTATCAGATCTTAGGTAGGATAGAGGCCCGTTCCTCTAAGGAACTGTGTCAGAGCAGTTGCTGCTCCCATTGCATTCACGACTGGTTTGCTAGGGGGTAGGTACCATTTTGCAGCTGTCTGCTCAGGGCTGTGAACCTCATCAATGTTTTGGAGTAAGGAAGCAAACAAGGAGCTTCTTGGTTTCCCAGGAATAATGTCCTGTTAGAGATCGTGACGACCTATTTTTAACTATTCTGTTGTTCACATATCTCAGTTTACTGAACTGGATATTTACAATATCACTGATTTGAGCTTCATTCTGTTTTATATTTTTCTTCTCCCTGAGAATTTGATAAACAAAAAATGATTTTTTTTTTTTTTTGTCATGTATAATCACGTTGTGTTCCACTTTTAGGTTTTTAGGTTTTTTGGGTTTTGATGTGGGCTTTGAAGAGTGCTTTGACGTTTGACTTGGGAATGCTGCAGAAGAGCATTTGGTATACAGATGAGAAGTTCCATGCTGTTCATTGTGCTATGTCCATAAGACTTGCTAACTGTGTTTCAATGTTTAAATCCTTAGAAACATTTATATTTTTAAAAGAGTATCTCTAAAAGATTTTGAACCAAATTGGATCTTAATATTATTTCAGATGTTATACCTATCGCGATCATTCTTACCTTCATCTGCTTAAAATATGAGAGAGATTGTTTTGAAACTATGGGTACATTGTAATAGTTCAGGAATATTTTTTTCCAAAATCCTCTTAAAATACTTGTTTTTATTGAGGTAGTCAGTCAAAGGCTCATCTTTGCAGGGTACTTCAATAGCATATGTCTATTTTTGCTAGCTAAAACTGCAGCAAACGTATGTATATGAAGTATGAACATTGTTAGAAATGTTATTGTGCTGCCAAGTCTTGAAGCCCCGCTTTGAGTGGGCATGGTTGTTCCTTAGAAACATAAGGACTTGCACACACAAACTTGTAGCTCTCCTTTCTGTAAAGTGGCGACCTGACACTGATGAAGCCTCTGATCATCCCGTGCCAGGTTTGCATGTTGTGGGGAGTCCCTCTAGGAAGGGAGCCCAGGGCTTCCACAAGTGGTGCCCTGTGCATGGACCTTAATGTAAAGGTTGTTGGACCTGGATGGGACCTGGCTTTYGGTAATTCTGGATTTGAAGTATAAAGTAGAAGGTTATATAATTTTCAATGATTAAAATTCTTGAAAAGCTTTGGTGCCTTTGTGAGTAACTTTTAGTGCTGGTATTTGGTTGCCTAATCTTTGGCTGGTAATGAGGTCCTTTATTTAATAATATTGTTTTTATAAATTCCTCTATGCTCTGTGTTCTTTGAAAGGGTCTTTGAAAGGTTCCTCCATCSTGATGTATGAAACACTTTTCTGGTCAAGCTAGTCAGAAAGAAACAGAGTAAAACATGGAAGAATGAGTGTCTTCTATTAGAGATGAGAGACAACTTAGCATGGTCAATATTCTGTTTTTTTCCTCTCTTATTAAACTTCAGTTTTTACAGATACTTTAAATGAATAATTTAAATAATCAGARATGTTCTATGGAAACAGTAAGGGGAGACTAATGTGTATTTTCTGTTTTTAGCAAACTTTAATGTGTTTYAAGGGGGGGAATAAAATGCTTATACAAAAAAATGCTTATACAAAATGTTAACATTTCCCAAAYACCTTGTTTATTTCAGCTTTGGTATTTTGGCAGTCTAGTCTTGCCTCTCAAGGTTACTTATTTGCAGAGTAGATGCCATTTTAGTATTAAAATTACGATGTATCTTATCCAGTGTTCATTAATGATAGAGAAATCTGCTTTTTTGTTAAATACTGTTTGATCAGAAAATCTGTGAAGAAAGGAATGCAAGTATACTCACACAAATACCTACAAACACTTGACAAAGAGAGTACTGTTAGGCTGTTTATCAAGGCCATCCATCAATGAGAGTGTAATTTGTACATAGAAGTGCAGAAGTATGGGCCAATTTGAATGGGAACACAAGGCTATTAAGTAGTTTGGAAGTCATAGTTGACTTTCTATTAGGACAAGTCAAAAAGCGTGTCTATTCAGTGATTTCTGCAGCAATTTGTTAGTTCCTAAGCTATATAGTGTGCTTCAGTATGTTTGAATCTTTGAACCTGAAGTAGTATATTCACCTCTCTTGTGACTGCTTAACCTCAAACCATACTTTCATTTGAAGGAGGAAAGAGAGTAAATTCAGAAAATAGTTTAATGAGAAGCAGTGAGTTAAGAAGGAACATATTGTAGAATAATTTGGTGTCCATTAGAAAACAACATAAATATTTGTAAATGCAGCATTCTGATTTAAAAATGAAAACCATTTTTTTTTGGAGCAGCCTGCCACGCTTGCTGGTTGTATGTGTTCCTGTGGTAAGTGTATGTTGTAGYAAAAGCAGCTTCTGACTGATCTGAAGCTGGAGAGCTAGTAGAGGTCAAGACGCTGAACTACTTAGTATTGCAACCCTGAACCTACTTTCACATGTTGTAGTTTTATAAGAGATTTCTCAGCTGGATTATAAGGGAAAACTTTGGCTTCGTGTGCTGTGAAAAGAAAGGTCTTGTGAATAAGATGTGAGATCTATGTTTCTATGACAGTTCACAAGCACTTCCATAATCTCCCTCCTATAAACCTTTCAGCTTTCTTACTTGTGGAGAAGGGATTGTGCAACTTCTGTTTTCTCCATCTTTTCCATTATCTACATAATTTGTAAGCTGTTTCGATCTGGATAGTTTCTTGCTGCTTGTTTGCATGGTGGTTTGAGTAATAGGGCTTTGATCTCAGCTCAAACATGCCAATGCTACTGTAATCCTATAACTGGCAGTGTTACATTTCTCGGTGYATCTGCACGCATGTTTCCTGTGAAAGGTCTTGTACACAAAACGTTGAATTTTTATAATGCTGAGCACACGGACAATGCCAGTTCTGCATTAGAGCTTTGGTTTTGCCCTTTGTTTGCTGACTGGCTTTAGACTTTGCCAGAGAGCTGCCTGGTTTGTGAAATATGACGAGCCTGAGTGCTCGGACTTGTGGTGCAGTTTTGCAGCTCAGCAAGGTAGGTGCATCGCCTGAAACGGGTGAAGGAGCAGCACTTTATCTCTAGCTGCCTGGAAGAAAGCACGGCTTTACATCTCAATAAAAGAAGAATTAAGGCCATTAAAAAGACTGTAACCTGTTAAGTCAGAGTTGGCTTTAATGTGAATCTAAACCCCTGTTCTGCAGGTGCAGGATACTACGTATCTCATCATATATGTGGAAGCAATTAGARGTAATTAATGCCTTTTCTTTCTAAATTCAGACCTGTTTCTTCTCAACTGCAGATAACCAAGGAATACTAGGAAATGAATGACATTTTGGCAACTAACTGCCTGTGTACTAGTTTTCAAGCTTGTTAAATTATTGAATCATCTAGGATGATTATGCAGTAACTTATACTTACAAATGCTCATATACGTACATTTTTGGCAGATTCACTAGACTAAAACACAGGACTGTTTTTTTTATGCAAAATGTAGAAGCTGAAATGCATATTTTTGCAGTATTCTTTCTGCATTACTTACAGCTGCTGATGCGAACAGACTTCTTGCATGTGTGAACATATCCAAGAGAGATGWATGTTTTATTTTCTGTAAAACCTAATAGCTAAACTTACACAGTCCTCTTACAGTCTTTTGCCAAAGGCAACCAACCTCACTGCTGGCATGAATCCTTCTGAACTTGTCAGTATCTAGRGTTTCACTAACCGCCTGTACGTAGTGCAGCTTCATTCAAGTTTTTATTTATGACAACCACCATATGGACTGATTATATAACTCTGGAATTTCAAGCTACTGTCATTAGTCTTGGCGTGGATTACTGACACGAAGTAAAAAATCATCATTGCTTTATTTTTTTTTTTAGGCTTAATTTCTTCTTAACTCATGCCAGGAGAAGATAGATATGCAAATACACATTCAAAAAACTCTTTTTTGTTGTTGCTAAAAAAAAATTTACTACAATTTCAGTCTGTGAATGCAGTCGAACTTTACGTTTTAAAAAGGGAGTAGATAAGACATGTCTAGCAGGGGAATTATAAGAAAAAGATAGAGTTTTCTGGACAGTTGGATAAACTAGAAAGTGGATGCAGTTGTTGGTTGTATATAGATGAATGTTTTGAATAAGTGGAATCCAATATCTTGTAAGAGAAGCTTAAATRTGGAGCTGTATAGCTGTGAAACCCAAGGGAGTTTTCCTTCTGCCAGTGCGGGAGCTTCTAGAAGGTAACCAGATGCATGAATCTTGGTAAAATTAGCTACTGTTACATTATTGATTTTGCTAGATATTCATTTTCAACCTAATATGTCAGGAAGAAATAAAATCCACACATAAGAAAAAACAAGAGTGTTTTTTATTTTTTTCTGAGATAYGACATAGTCACTTAGAAGAGTTGCAGGAAGGCATGAAGAGCAAGCAGATATCCAGGTTTCTTTTTCTTTCCTCCCATCTCTGTCTTTCTCTCGGTGTCTCTCTRTGTCTCTCCATGATCTACTGTTATTGAAGAAGGATAACACTGAGCTTGAATGGATGAGGTAGATTGTTTAAAGCCATTGTTTGTTACATTTGCAGCCAGGTTGTTTTTGGGTTCTGTTTTTTTCCAGCTGTTTCAGATAATCAGTTTTGTTTAAAAGTAGACTGTCATATAGAACAATCTAATGTGGTCATTCTCAATAYGAAACAACCTCAAAACTCTCTTGCAGACTTTGCTAGAAGACTCAGATTTGTCCTTTATCACTTA